CTCTGTACAGTAGGGCTGTCTTGATGTTCGTATTGAAGATTCTTACTTTGATATTTGTTAACAGTTGTTTTGGGTTCCATATGTTGTCCGACTGTATGAATACTACCCTTACTTTGCCAATCCTCACCTTTACGTCTGCTTTGAATCGTCCTTGTTCATCGAAGATGTTACGCAGATACGTGAAAGTTTCCACCTATTCCAGAACTTGTCTATCGAGTGTGATTGTGTTGGTGTTATCTGTGTTGTATTCGAGGATCTTGGTTTTTCCGTTGTGTATGTTGAGGTCTACTGATGTGGAGACTGCTGCTACACTGGTTGCTTGACCTGAATCTGTTGGTGTGTATGGGATCGAAGAGGTAGGTTAGGTCATCTGTGAAGTCCGACTCGTCTATCTGCGTCCAATCTGTCCATTGAATCCCGTGCTTCCCGTTAGATGTGAATGTCTGACTCCGGTCCTCACTTGGAATGCACCACTTTGCAGTGCAATCGGTCGTATGAATTCCGGATGATGTTGACGACTTCTCAGGTACTTCATAGTGTCGAAGAAGCCTCCATAATGTTCTCCTATCTACACTGTCGAATGCCTTCCCATAGTCAATGACGTTGATGCATAGTGACGAGTTCCATTCAAATGATTGTTCACCGATGATCGGTAGTGTCGCGATTTGGTTTGTGCACGACCGATCCCTACAGAATCCAGTCTGTTGATCTCTTATTTGGGTGCCTACTGAGTCTTTCATCCGGTTCTGCAACATTTTGATGATCCCGGACCAATCAGATTTCCATCCTATAAGTATTTTCCATGCTTCTTTGGACAGCATCAGTGCAACACCCTGAATGTGTGGAGCATTTTCTTTCTCGAGACCAGAGTAGAACAGAATCTCTCTCGAATCTAATATTTTCTGTCTAGCTTGGATTTAACGAGTTCCACTTAATCCGATAATCACCAATTTGTATTTCCACATTTCCGTAGTTATTTGATCGATCCCCCTTGTCTCCCACACTGTCTGGACGTTCCATGTAGCTATATTAATTGTTGCTTTGGTTGTTTGATGAGACATTGTTCTCGTGACTTTAGAAGAATCTCTGCTTTCACCACGAGACGTGATAATTCTTCTAAATGAATATCCTTATACTTGTAGGGCAGAGTTTAAATGAGTTGAATGGTATTTTTTCTGCTTGGCGTTTTTTTGTAGCAAGGTAGTTTTCTACGGGATGGGGTTGCTGATCCCATACCCAATCCTCTTCCTTTACTCGGGCTTGGGACCGACAGTAGCCCTAGAAGAGCTACAGTCGGAGTTTAATATATTTAGACTAACTGAATAGTAATAGGTGCTATGTATTTTCAAAACATAGTGCTGAACGTATTCCATCGATCATTTGCAATTTATACAGTAATCTAAGTGAATTAACATTTGATGTATGTTTGTGACCTGATTTATAATAACCTATTTCTTCCAAATGAAATAATGATTTCTAACGAAAACTATTCTTAATTAAAAGAACTAGAGCAGTGACTGATTAGCTTAAACATTAGTATTTTGACTGAAGTTTTATAAGTGAGAACATAGCTCTACTATCCAAAGTTTGAGCAACCTTTATGCAGTTTAGTCCCTGAATTTCTATGTATCATTTTTCTATATTCTCTTAAAAACCTATTTTCAATCATTTTATTAAATCAAAAGTATCATCAAGTTTGTCGTTTTTTCTTCCTTTCAATGAATATTAGTCTGATTGGTAAAATTAAAGTACATATACAGATTTTTCATAGATTTCAAACATTATAATTGATTTTGTTGTAAGCATTTACCGAGAACTTATGAAATAAAGAAGTTAATATTCTACAATGCTGTCTTTCTTTTTTCTGTAATGAAGATCTATTGAAAGAAAGTTATGATTTTCATCTGACATAAATATCATTAACGTCTACATCGGCCAATGAAATATGAATACATTATAATGATTCAAAACTCCGCCTGGAGCCCCACTTGGGTTACTGCCGGTCCCAAGCCCGGATAAAGGGGGAAGATTGGGCATGGGGTTAGCGATTTCATCCTGTAGAAAAATAACTCGCTAAAAAAAACGGTAACCAGAAAAAATTATTCAGACCATAATGATTCAGATTCATTTGACTGAAAACAAGGATTAAATTACAAAGTTTTAATTACTTACTTATACTATATATTTATTTTAAAAGTTAAGATCTATTGAATACTATGACTAAGATAAACAATGAGAAAAAGACATTGAGATGACCTATTATTAAATCAATCATCTTTTCAATTATTGAACATAATTTAATGAACAAGTACATATTTTCATTATGATCCATGTTATCAATCATTACTTTTCCACTATCAATACTTCATTTTTGGAATTTATAAATAACGAGTTCAAGTATCACAATGAACAATAATTCAACTAAGGGTAGCATCCCAATGTTATTGTATTGTGATGAGGATAAAATTTAATAAATTCATCTTACTAATGTATTTTAAATAAAATTCATCGTGGCTTTTAACTGACTGAAAAGAATGAATTATAAAATCAGTAAACCACTGAAAAGTGGTTAGACTACGAAGACATGAACAGTTGATTAGAACAAATAATCTACTTCTTTAAAAAAGATGAGAGTCCTAATTACTGGACGCAAAGACAGCGTGATAGATTTTGTACTAGAGTCAAGTAAATAGTGATTGTGAAAACAATGTTGTTAAATGAAGCTCGAACATAGTCTTCATTCACACTATTCAAAAAATGATTCAATATGATTCGACAGTACAGCAAAACATGAAATCGCAGTTTAAGAAGTAATTTGCCTTTTATATGTGTAAAGGATAAAGGTTATGACTTCCTGTCTGCGTTAACACTGAAATATTACTGTAAGTTTATATTAGTTAAAAATGGGAATATGCTTGATTGTCCTTTTACACCTATATACATGATTGCATTTAAGCTTAACTTCAGAATTAATTATCTCACTATCGAACAAGACATCATCTTCAATTATTCTAGTGCTTGAAAAAAGGGTATGAGTTTGACGTTAAAATCACAAATCCGTAAACTTGACTAGAAATCCTAGGTCAGACTCCATAAACCTAATTTAATTAAGAGATAATTAGCTTTCGTCAGTATGGCATCAGCTTTACGTCATCTAAATGTAAAGTACTTCAGTAAAATTGGCAACAGCTTGTATTTTCAATTGCCCTTAAAAGTAGGGGATCGAAAATGGTCGGGTTGATTTACCTGGATAGTTCTTATAATGAAAACAGTGGACACATACGCCAATCTCAACTAAGAAAGTTAGTCATTAATGTCGGCTTTGACGACTTGGGTACATTTTCACTACCGAATATTGTCTATTGACACATAAACTAATTGAAAGAAGCGGAAAAGCTCTCAGTTCACAAATTGGTACTGTGGAATAAAAGAAGGTTTCATTGGATTAATATATAGGGGTGTAAGGTTTTTATCATTATTTTCACTAACATGTTTAGAATATTTAGTCTTATTTTGCATCCATTATTTTGCTTTACTTTAAGATTCCCATTTCATTTTAATCAACATTTCTCATGACAACTTTCTAATATCAAGGCTATGTACTTAAGCATATACAGAAACTAGCATAAGAATATTCCCAATGGATGATCAAGAGATGAGAATACAGAACAAAAATACATCTCATTATACGGTTGTAAAGGATAACTTTAAAATAAATCTAAACAATAGTCATCTGTGTAACATGAACAATTTTTGGTGGGTTCACCCAGTCAACGATACGATTAAGCATAATGAAAGTAAACCAATTAAATTAAAAACTTGTACTAAATTAAATAATTCTAATATATGTTTACAAAAATATCCCTCATACTAGTTTGGTTTTGATTCAAATGAGTAGAGAATGGAGAGAAATCCAAGACTATTACAAGACATAATATTGCATATTACTTCAAGATGGATGGAGAAACCAATTGTTGACTGAATCTCCTGAATTAGTAAACAATAGTTACTGGAGTAGAAAATTCTTATAATCTAAAAAAAACCTACGTATTCTACTGATTTAAATACATGTAATCATCTTCTTTTGGTGTCATTACATAGTAGTGTTTCTATGGGTTCTTAATCTTATCGGTTCTTTTTTACTAGTGTTTATAAGCTGAGTAGTTGATATCTAGTTACAAGTGTACTGTTTGAAGAAATTCATGTAAATTCAATTATCATTGAATAGTTTTGGAAATGCGGTGATATTCAGTAAGATGCTAACATGAGACCATATTGTCTCTATTGATTTGACCATTAACCCTACATACCATCTGTTATAAAACCATATTTCATTGTAACACAATCAGTCGGATAAGAGAAATGGTGTAGTGTTTCCCCAGTTCATTCTAACTGGTAAAATAACTCAAACTATGAAAATGAATCTCCCTCGCTTATGAAAACTGTAAAATATCTAAATTCTTTCTGAAGATAGTTTTATGTTTCAGTCTTGATCGTCGTGGCACACTTTTTGATTAGTTGGTCGCTATAAATTAAGCTGTATTACAATCGTGTAAGTAGCATAACGAAAACATAATCTTCAAAATACATTTAAATTAAATACTACACAGTAAACCTACACATAATCTTAATAATGAGATGATTAATGAATGAAGCAACTTAATCAGAATCTATGGTCTATTGAGTAGCAAGGAAAGTTAAAGTGAGAATAAGTCTATAGTTTTAGGCATTGCAAGACAGACATAATTGAATAGTTAACTTTATCAATATATACCACTTAGGAATGAGGTGAGATTGGTACACTGTTAACCTCAGAAAGTGATTTAGCTGAATTAATTTATCAAGAGATTTAATCACTGAAGCATAATGTCTAGTATTCCCGTAAGAACATTCATTATGTCCCCATCTCAGACGGCTGATTTTATAGTGTCATTATGAATAAATATTTACAAGAGAACTACGACATCTATTCATTTACTTTTGTAGAGATGTATTAAATCTGGCATTCCTGTCTTTTAATAACATTTAGGGTGGCAAGGTGACAAGTCTTTAATGGTTAAAGAAAGTTGACCTATTTTCTTTTATTCAATATATCGATCTCAACACAATCATGAAATACGTAACTTGACATACTTGACTCAAGGGAATCAACAAAAGAAAAGCAAATGATTAGAAAAACCAGTACGAATAGTAACGGGAAAATGGAAGAGAAAAAGGCAGGGGAGACGATGAATACAGAGTATGATATTAAATCAACAAAAAACGTCTCTGTGCAATTGACACTTGATATTTAGTGGGTTTGTGCATTAGTAGTATGGAGCTGAAGATGAAAAAAAGAATATCATATCAAAAACACTTCCAGTCCCATACTTTTAAGATGACTATCATGTAGGATTTCTCATCCAACTGTTCAGAAACCCAAAAAATAAATGCGAAGTCCTTGGTTCAATCTCTGTTCGGGTCATGGATGCGCACTGTTGAGGAGTCGAATAATAGGGAGGAACAGTTGTCCAGTATTTCATGGTTTAAATAAGTGTTTATTTGAAGTCACTCCACGTCGCAATTTCTAAATTCAAGTTTATCCGTAAGAACAAGGACGAGAAAAACCTATAACATTAAGATGTTCATTAATCATACATATTTCCCTCTATATTACTCGTAAAAGGAATAATCACATTCTTGCTAGTAATATATATATATATATATATATATATATATATATATATATATATATGTTCATTTTCTTTCAAGACTCTTAGTGACAATAGAATCTTATACGCCTATAATGGTCGACGGATTAGCCTAAAAAACCGATACAAGTTATATGCTGTAAAAATCAACACTCGTTGGACAAGAGCTGTTTAGTGTATCAGAATAGCTTGGTAGAAAACGTTGTGGAAATTAAAACAGTGGAAGCTGAGTTTTAGTTCTAGTGGGGACATCAACATGGACATGTGAGTGACAAGACCCGTACTGAACGAAAAGACTTTCGGATCCCAGTGCTAACCTCTATAAATATTGTATTTGTTTTCTTTACTATCTTCCATTATATCACTACTTTGGCAAACATGTTTAGTTTCACAAGTTTTGCTTGCAAAATAAACTCAGTTACATGGTAACATAGTTACTCATGTACAAAAAGTAGTACATCCCAGTGGCCAACCAACAATAAGACATATAAATACAATGGAGTCGTAATGTCAATAGTGATGATGTTGATTTAGGGACAAAAACTAGGAAAAAAAAGTAGTAGTAGGTATAGGTCCTACTTGCATGAACGGTATGATAGACAGGTCATGGTGGTGCGCGAAAATCCGGAAGAAGGATCAATATTTCTAATGTTAGCTGTTTGTATCACAATCGTAAAACATTAGGCTTTATCTGACTATTTAAATAAACCAATCAAATCCTATCGTTTATTAACATACGAGCTGAAACTCGTCAAGCTTGCAACATGATTGGCCTATCTGTGAACCAGACTTCGGCTGTAGGGGAAATAGGTGTTAAGCGTTTTCATGCTATAGATGTTTTTTGTCGACCGGACCTGCACTTTTTATGTAATCGGATATTCTGACTCGAGACTTTTTAGTAAGTACAATTAATAGTAATATGGCATTCTTTGTACATAAGTAAATATAGACGTCCCTCTAAAACTATGATTTCCATTGTAAAATTAATTTGATCGCCATTTTTTAATGAACGTAGATTTGAACATGCTTTTTAACACAGATCAGGACCATCAGAAGCATGGAAATAAAATGGCACTCGCGAATATTTCAGTATCGTTTGGAACTTTTCAGTAGTTCACACTTTAAATTGTTCCAGAGTTGAACAAGTGCCTTGATTGATTTACAGCGAACACATTTTCAAAGAACAACCGAGTTGAAAGCTAGTTGTTATTACTTTATTTGTAATCCACAGGTTATGAGACAATCCAAGCTGAAGTTCAGGGCAAGTACTCAGAGGATTTAAAGCAAAAAATGACCACTATCTGACGGACTACTTGTGCTAGTATATAAAAATCGGTTGGCTCTAACCTAACTGATTGTCATCAGTATAGGGTTGTGGAGATTGTCGAGTTTTATTGGAATTATGAAACCGATCAATATTAGGTCACCATGACCCCAACTATTGGTTATTACTAGGGTGCTTATGCTCATGGATTAATCCAAAAGTTTGTCTATACAGATCATTCTGACGTAAAGCAAGGTCCTCCAAAACTCAATATGACTTTTATTTTGTTAGTGCCATAAGTAGGAATTTAACGTTTTTTTTAACAAAGTTGTTTTCTACGGGATGGGGTTGCTGACTTCATACCCAACCCTTCTCCTTTACATGGGCTCGGAACTGGCAGTATTCTTAGATCTACAGGCAGATCAGATATCAAAAGGATGAATACCAACTGGAAAGGATTAACCAGTACGGAGTTCGATGGAGTGCTGGTGGGTGACCTATACCCCTTTATGAGGAGTAGCAGGTGTAAGTATAAGTAGAAGGCAAAAGAAGGCCAATTTAGTACGTAGTCTGAAACTTAGTGGGCCATTCTGTTCATTCCATAAAGTCTTGTATGCCAATCAGAATTTGTCTGATTCCCTAAGATAGATCGGAAAATGCAATATTGAATCCTGCAAATACCAGCGCATTACACTCGTGACATGTAACAGTGAACTTCAATGTCACACAAGTAAAATAAATTTGGCCTATTATTTTTGTTTGAAGTGATCTTGGTTAGTACATGAACATTTGCAAAAGAACCCACAAAGATGAATAGGCGCCTAAACAGTGAATGGATTTAAACAACTGGTCATTTTCCACAACATACACACTTTGATATACAACTACTGGAAGTTTTAAGTTTCTTTTCAACCCACAAGTATTTCGTTCAGATGCTATGTGAATCAAATATATTTATTTGTATTTCAATATACTAGTTTTCTTCCATTCACAGGACAAGTATGTGATGTGTTGGGTGACTCAGGCGAACTTGAGACTCATTCGGGAACCAAGCTTCGTAGCACGATTCAGAGAACTAGCATTTAATTAATGGATTTATGGTTTGAGTTCGATGATGATGTGGATTCCCCGGAGATATCTATACGATATAAAGGTGTCAGAGAAACTAATCTGATTTCTGCAAACCGAGATATTTGGGACACAAATAAACTGCAGTTTATTTTGATAAGTTTTGTTTTACAGGTTTAGGATTCGAATTCTTCCAGGCATGAGTGATGCTTACTTCAAACCAACGAAGAACTGGTTCGTAATTACCAAGATTTTGTCAGAACTGTTATTGTCTTAAGAGAGCGGCAGATGCATTTTCAGGCACCATAAGTTATAATTTATGATGGGTTAACTTTCTACAGTTTGGAAGTTGAAGAAAATACTTTTATTTCATTCTATTACAAATTCGAGTTATAGTAGTTTAGTATTTAATGTTGAAATTATGGTCAGAACTTATAGCTCGAATTGTGAGTATCCACGTAATTTTGACAATATTAGTTATTTTTTTACGAGGGCAGATTTCCCAACGTCAGTCCAGGTTCCGTTAGCTTGATTTAGAAAGGCGATCGTGAAATATTTACATGTTCATTTCAACACCTTCAAGAGAATTTTTGTAATTAAATACCTGGGTGCTTTGGCTGACTGAGCTTCACCAAGAATATGCAAGGTAAACATTCTACTGAAACTATCAATATGTAGCGACGCTAGTCAGAACGATGTACTATGCTACTAGTGTACAAATTTAAATTGAAAATCCACTCCTTTAATCTTGATATTGTCAATGTGATTCGTTGAATTTTATACAAAACTGATACCAAAATAAATCCAGAAACTACAATCCATTTCAAATGGTCTACTAAGTTTCCGAAAAAGAGGATTTCATAGACTTACCCCAGTCAAATACTCCAAGGTGATTTTTTTCTCTAAATATCCTCTTAGAACACGCTTACAAACGCTTGATAGATGAGTTACATGCGTACTGAGAGTCATTTCCGATTTGTCTTCTCCAATTGTTTTGCTTTGGTCTAAGCAGCCAATCATAAAAATGTACAAATCAAGGTTACTGTTTCGTGAATCAGCCAACCTGCAAGATAGAATATTTGTCTATAATTAGGTCAACTTATCAAGTCACCTTAATCTAGGGTTGTAGGTCATATTCAATAACGTGCTTGCTTTTCATGTCTGGCTAATCTTATGAAGACTAGGTTAGATATAAACAAGTGAGACAGCCCTTATTTTATTGAGTGGACGTATAAAAGTACATTTTCACCACTACCAATAGGAGGACAACATTACTTTATTGCTTATGTACCCAGGCTGGGTCTAGTTCAACCATAATTATAGAAAAAATCTGCTTTGTTTTGGTGTTCACATGTCTTTACAACAGGAACTTCATTGAATGTGTTGTTTTCAGAATGTTACACTACACAGTGTAATGATATAAAAGTGAAACTTCACATTCATATATTCGCTAGTCTACTTACAATTGTTCACGACATCATCAGTGATTGTAGAGGTATACCATTTTGCTGATTGTTTAAAGTAGTAGTTTCCAAATTACTTAACACTAAAGACATTTGTACTCATTCAGGTCAGGCCAAGGATAACTGAGGTGTATATGCCAAGCAAAGTCGGACAGGTTATATTATGTTTCAAGTTCACATGAGCAGGTTTGGGTGGGCTATTGTAAACAGATTATTTACCTAAACAGGTTCACCTAGATAAGTTTTGGGAATACATATTCTAATTTTGGCAACAGGGATACCATGTAGTCTTGGTCTTTTTCACATAACCTATATGGTTGGTACGAAATGTTTCGACTAATATGATGGAATCCTTTAGTTTATTTTTCGAACCTCAGTCAATTTGTAATATATTACCATTTCCATTCAGTATCACCAGTGATATATTGCTTCGCTTTCGACTTTATTGGCCTGGTTTTCCCCCTAACTAGCACTTGTTTATGCCTGTTACCCCTCGTTGAGGACATTAGGTCGCTCACCAGCATTAACCATCCAAATCTGTTCTGAGCAATCCTTCCTAGTTCTTTTTATTCGCTATTCATCCTTTTTATATCTGCTCCCAATTTCCTTCTACTTTTCCGTTTCCCTTCAGGATTTCAAGTTAGTGCTTGTCTCGTGATACAGTTTGATGATTTCCTCAATGTGAGTCCCATTCACTTCCAACGTCTTTTCCTAATTTCCAGTTCACCTGGAACCTAGTTTGTTCTCTCCCACAGTAGGTTGTTGCTGATAGTATACGGTCAACGGACATTCAGTATCTTGTGTAGAAAACTTTATAAATACTTGTACTTTGCTGATGATGGTTATAGTAGTTCTCCAAGTCTCAGCTCTGTACAGTAGGGCTGTCTTGATGTTCGTATTGAAGATTCTTACTTTGATATTTGTTAACAGTTGTTTTGGGTTCCATATGTTGTCCGACTGTATGAATACTACCCTTACTTTGCCAATCCTCACCTTTACGTCTGCTTTGAATCGTCCTTGTTCATCGAAGATGTTACGCAGATACGTGAAAGTTTCCACCTATTCCAGAACTTGTCTATCGAGTGTGATTGTGTTGGTGTTATCTGTGTTGTATTCGAGGATCTTGGTTTTTCCGTTGTGTATGTTGAGGTCTACTGATGTGGAGACTGCTGCTACACTGGTTGCTTGACCTGAATCTGTTGGTGTGTATGGGATCGAAGAGGTAGGTTAGGTCATCTGTGAAGTCCGACTCGTCTATCTGCGTCCAATCTGTCCATTGAATCCCGTGCTTCCCGTTAGATGTGAATGTCTGACTCCGGTCCTCACTTGGAATGCACCACTTTGCAGTGCAATCGGTCGTATGAATTCCGGATGATGTTGACGACTTCTCAGGTACTTCATAGTGTCGAAGAAGCCTCCATAATGTTCTCCTATCTACACTGTCGAATGCCTTCCCATAGTCAATGACGTTGATGCATAGTGACGAGTTCCATTCAAATGATTGTTCACCGATGATCGGTAGTGTCGCGATTTGGTTTGTGCACGACCGATCCCTACAGAATCCAGTCTGTTGATCTCTTATTTGGGTGCCTACTGAGTCTTTCATCCGGTTCTGCAACATTTTGATGATCCCGGACCAATCAGATTTCCATCCTATAAGTATTTTCCATGCTTCTTTGGACAGCATCAGTGCAACACCCTGAATGTGTGGAGCATTTTCTTTCTCGAGACCAGAGTAGAACAGAATCTCTCTCGAATCTAATATTTTCTGTCTAGCTTGGATTTAACGAGTTCCACTTAATCCGATAATCACCAATTTGTATTTCCACATTTCCGTAGTTATTTGATCGATCCCCCTTGTCTCCCACACTGTCTGGACGTTCCATGTAGCTATATTAATTGTTGCTTTGGTTGTTTGATGAGACATTGTTCTCGTGACTTTAGAAGAATCTCTGCTTTCACCACGAGACGTGATAATTCTTCTAAATGAATATCCTTATACTTGTAGGGCAGAGTTTAAATGAGTTGAATGGTATTTTTTCTGCTTGGCGTTTTTTTGTAGCAAGGTAGTTTTCTACGGGATGGGGTTGCTGATCCCATACCCAATCCTCTTCCTTTACTCGGGCTTGGGACCGACAGTAGCCCTAGAAGAGACACAGGCGGAGTTATCAACGGGCTCGTGTCAATACAATGAGAAATTTTTCAAAAATGATGTTTGATGCTATTCACTGATTCTCAGAGTGAAATCCAAGTACAGACTGGCCAAATCATTTTCATTATCGACTTAGCTAAGATAACAATTCACATTTCCCTGTTTTGACCAGTTCAATTTATTTATGAAAATATATACTTGATGCTTTGAAACGAATGTTCACTGCTCGTTATTCATCTTTTTTTTGTAATAGATGGTTGGATGATCTTCAAGGAAAGGACTTTGTAACTAAGTCTAACCTTACAACCTGATATAGTTCCACAGATCATAGCTCTGCGTTCTAACTTTTTGAAAACCATCTAGACATCAGTCACACAAATGAGCAGTTGGTTTGAATAATTTAACAGCTTAAATTAATATTTGGTGAAAATTACAATTAAATTCCACAAAATATCCTTAAATTATGTTAATAGTCAATTAATAATATTATAAATATGTAGATTGTGTTTATACGCAGTGACTGTCTAACGTTGCCTAGTTTTCAGTAGTACTCAAACTAAGATCAATCAGTGAATAATGCAATTTACGAATTTCAACCCAATCTCATGAAACCTTTTCAACTAAATATCATAAATACTTTAATCTATACAAAAATTAAAATATTCTTTTTATTCCTTAACAGACTAAACAAAAAAAAAAAATAAAGATTTCGAAATGCAAGACAAGAAAAATTCGAAAAACATTATTTACTTTGCTTTTCTCATTTAATTTGATTCTCATTTAGTTAACTTTGGTTAATAATGTTCAAATGTTCATGTAATATATGTAAACTAAGTTTACATCAGAATTAACAGATTTTAAAAGTATATTCCACAGGTATAAATACAAAAATTATGTAGCCTTGGTAATAATATGAGATGTTAAGCATATAATATTGATTATTATCAGAAGGGGTTTCGTGGAGATTGTAATAATTTCAATGGTTAAGTTCATGAGTCAGTTGAAGCTAGACCACCATGGAAAACCTGGAAGCACTGGACGGCCGTTTCGTCCTATTATGGGACTTCTCAGCAGTGCGCATCCATGACCTCGCTGAGGAGTCTCATAATAGGACGAAACGGCCGTCCAGTGCTTCCAGGTTTTCCATGGTGGTCTAGCTTCAACTGACTCATGATCTTAATCATTGAAATATAATATTGAGTTAATATTGTTGATAGATCTGGAATCCCAACAAACATATCATTTTTAGGACTTGGAAAACATTAATATAAAACGGTTAAGAATCCTGATGTATGATTCATTTACTTGTCACCAGTTATTTTTAAAATTTATCATTCACTTATTTTAAACTTTTGGTAACAAATACCTTTTATCAGTAAACTTAGTCTTATGTGTTACTTCTGTTTTCTTGAGTATCACTAATTGTAAGCTGATGACATTTGTTTTGTAAATATCCCATATGACCTAGTGATATTCATTTTAAGATATATCTAGCAATAAGTTTATTTCTTCAGAGATAGTGTAACATTGCATGGTACTTTATTTGATAAGTCTTACATTCAGATAGTTATCTGAGTATTGTAATCACCAAAAGTTAATATGAAGTGAGGTATTTGGAAAACGATAGTTGATGATATCATGATGATATTGAGTTATATAATTCATAAGTAGGATAGTACAATGTTTTATCTACTATTGATATGACAGATTTATTCATCATCTAGAATAACTAATATCAAATTGTTCATTACTCTTTCAAACGCTTGAATAGTTATAACAGAAGTCAACAACCGGCTTCAATTAACAGTAATGTTTTTAAATTTCCAAGTAAAAGTGACAATTTTATCCAGTAGATAAACCACAAACAGTATTCTATATGTACATATCTAGAAATATTGGTTTTGATGATCCAAAATAATAATTCTAATTCATATGTATATTTGTAGTGAACGAAGACTCAGGTGGGGGAGAGCCAAATTATTATGGCACAACCACAGAGTGCTTTGGTAAAATATGAAAATCACACATCAAATACATAATCTGCACACCTCTCATCAGTTGTCCTTTATATGCTTCAGAATCCTTTCATTCCCCTTATTCTTGGAAATTACTTTCTGTTTTCTTCGATTGGATCTTCCCAATCTTTTGAGGGCATGCAGTCCACTTCCAATTGATGTTACAACCATTTATATTTGTCAATGTAAGTAGCACATGTCACATATTGACATTTGAATTCACTAATCGATCTAGGCTAGAACACCGTTGAAAACCTGGAGGCACTGGACGGCCGTTTTGTCCTAGTAAGGGACTCAGCAGTGCTCACCCACAATTCCGCACGTGGGACTCGTATACAGGACCGTCGGCCTCGTACGCGAACGCCTAACCTCTAGACCACTGGGGCGGGATT